TTCCCTACCTCGCTAGCCGCACTGCCCCACAGCATCTACCTAGGGCTACGCCCGCAGCCACCCATGCCTACACCGTCGAGAAGCCACGCCTTGATAGCCATTGTCCACGCCCGCCACCGTCGGTCTCCCTACGAGCGTGAGCCCCTTGGTCGTGCTAGGCTTGCTGCTCCATGGCGCCATCATCGTCAAGCGCCTCCTCCGCCTCCAACCTGCTCCCCACGCCATTACCGCTGCGCGCCACCACGGCTCATGCGGGCAGGCTGCCGGGTGCCGGCTTGGGTCTTGCTGCGGCCATCCCGTGGTCGCGCAAGCCCTCGTGCCCCTCACCGGTGGTTTTCCGCTGCCGCCATGCCTTCCCTGGCTGGGATAGACCGTCGGCCGGTGCTCCTCTGCTCCATGCTCTGTCTTGGGAGGGAGAGAAGGCGAGAAATGAGAATGTAGCTTTTCCCAGGGTTCTTATTGCGAAGTATGTGACTCTAAAAAATAGTGTTTTCATACCACGGGTTAAATTGAGGAAAGATCAGGGGCCATTTCGCAAATGTGCAGTCGCCGCTGCCGCCTGGGCCGCGCACGCGACTGTGGGCCGTGTCGCGCTGGGCCACTCGTGCCCTTTCCCGTGATGGGTCGTGCGCGTCCCGCCTGGGCCATCGGCCATGCGCCTGCTTGGGTCAGCCTGGTGCCACACGCGTTGGGCCACGCCTGCCGCACTTGGGCCGCTGGACCGAATGGGTGGCCGCTGGCCCTTTAGTCTTATAAAGCGATTGTTAATTTAGTTTCGGGAATAAAACTTGTAAAATTCGTAGTAGATCATAGAAAAATTGTAAAAATACCAAACCAGTTTTGTTGAGTTCCTAAAATCATGATATATCTAATAGTGTATTTTGTTCATTTAGATTCGGTATATTTTTAGGGTTGCTCTAATTATTGTAACATGCTTAATATTGATAAAAGGTGAACTTGTAGGAGTTTCCGTGATAAATCGGTGTTAGTGTTGACTCTGAAAATTTTACAATAAATTACTAATATTATTAGTTGCTCACTGAAATTTTTGTAACTCTAGAATAATTAGTTTGCTAGGCTAACTATTGAGCCCTAGTTTGTATATATATTAAATCAATGCAATAGATAAAGAAATGCCTTGGGGTTTCATGACTAAAACACTTGTTGGGAAATAACGTCTTATTCGACAACATGGATATGTAGACCAGCGTTAGAGCTATCTCGTTAGCTTGTGAGGCGTGATCAGATTTCTAAGCATTTCGGCTGTCATTAATTATTTACATCTATGCATTTGCATCAATGCATATCATATAGGTACGATGATGGGTCAACAGATCAATTAAAGGATGATTGGGGATTCAAATATGGGGTAATGGTATTCTCTCCAGGAGATGATGCAATGGGCTTTCTATTCAGATGATGGTGGATGATCTGAAGATGCAAATAGCTAACTTTTGATTATATTTTTACCTAGGCAATTCCTGGTGCATAACCCCTACTTTTCTTCACTTTAAATTATATTTATGCATTAAGTTTTAAGGAGTTGAATGAAACCCACTTGCATATATATATATATATATATATATATCTTTATCCTATGAGTCTTACTAGTATGACAGGATCGTGTAGATTGCTATGCTACAGGACTCCGATAAAAGTCGAGTGATTGCCTGTCACTCACGAGAGATAGAAAATCTATTACTGTATTATTATCACTTAGAAAATATAAATGGTGGAGAAGGAAATGGTGACCGGATAGGGATATGGTTTGTGTATTGGTGGGTGTAAGAGGTTGTGTCCTGCAGCCACGGGGCATAGCTTGGTTACATTGTTTTCCCTGTCTGTGTCGGTTAAGGACCGGCCATTGCATAAGACGTTAGGCAAGTCACATACTTATTATCCTGAGCACATACTTAGGTATGGGCGCTTGAAAGACTTGTTACTCTCTTGTCATGGATTCTGGCTCTTTCTGGACCGACTGTCTTGGTGGTTTTTGGGTTAGGAGGTCCTTGCTCCGCACTGAGTTCGAGATTCAGGGGCGGAGGCTTAGAGTCCCAGTTTGGATGGGACCTGGACCCCATGACAGAAGGGTAGTGGGTTGGTCCTGCTTGTGTCTGGGGTATAAGCGGGGCGTGTGTTTTTGGGGTACCCAGCTGGGGGCATTGATTTGCGAATCGCTGGCGTTCCGGTACGACTTGTCTTAACTCTAGCACCGTAGTAAGAACTAAAAGAGGAAAGATAGAAAAAGGAACTTTGATTACTTACCACCTGCTTGAAAGTAGTACAGGTGCTTACATAGAATGGTTAGTCAATAAACTAATGCACTGCTAATAAAAATCGATTATAAGTACGCACTTTTAGTAATGCTTCCTGTAGATGCGATAAACCCACAACCCAGATAGCATTGCATATCCTTGGAGTCTTTTCTTTTCTCCTGACGGGTAAGTCTTACTGAGTATAATTAAGTACTCAGGATTTATTTTTCCTTATTATAGGTGACAGGTGGATGCTAGAGCTGACCTTTGTGTGTGGATTCCTCCTGGTGGGCTCAGAGATGATTTCCTTTACGCTGCGATCATAATTTTTATTTATAACTCTCACCAAATGTTTTTATAAACAGAAGTTTTTATAATCTGTTGTCATAGTTCATTTATCAATGTTTCATCATGTCATGAATGGATATTTATTTCCGCTGTAACTCTGTTCACATGTTTATATTCCGTTGTTTAATTAAATTGTTCGTAACTCTGATAATATGATTACATTCCGTTGTTATAACAATAAATGTGATGTTCTGATATTGTATTAAAAATGATGTAAGAAATGGTTAAGAATGCTGTAAGCTTTATTCTCTCATTTGTGATCCTGATGAAAAAATATAGATTTTCGGGTTCTTCCTTGGGATGTGCCCGACGGGACCGTGTAATTTGATGTCCTCCCTTGGGTGCTTAGTGTCTAATGGAAGAGGAGTACTCCTAGGAGGTATTAGATTAGGCGGTTCTGCCACAGCAGACGTCTTGAGCACATGTTCGCTCAACGTCGCAAGCTCTTCGGTCGCACATTTAGTCTCTTAGTTACAACAGCGTGCGTTCCACCGTCTAGCGGTGCCTATTCATGTTCAACCCCATCCGTCATGGCACCGCGGCGTGATGTGATGTTGGACGGTAAATCTTCTAAACTTCTTAATGAAATACGTGTTATGCATGTTCTTGAAAAAAAATTACGTTTAACTAACTATAAATAAAAATGTCAATATTTATAATATGACATAAGTATCATTAAATTTGTTATTAGATATACTCTCATATATACTATATTTATTTGGTGTTATAAACATTAATATTTTATGTATATATATTTATTTAAATTTTACACACGTTAGCCAAAAATACATCTAGAATTGTATTTTGGACAGAGGTATTGCTACCTCATTTTTTTTTCTTTTTTTAGGCAAACTACCTCATTTTCTCCCTAGCGAGGATTATTGATGAGCAACGGCCAGGCCTAGCACACAGCACAGACGACGACGGACCGACCGTTAAGCACGCGCCCGATGGCATCGGTTGACGACGACATGGCGTGCCACGTGGGCCGTGCTCTCAGCACGCTGGGCTCATCCTTTGATCCAGGCATGGCACTATGGGCTGTTTTTCGTACCAGGCCGACCCGGTAAGCACGACAAGCTTAGCAAGCCGTGCCTAGCCCGAGGCCCACTTTACATGTTTCTAGAAGGGGAAGGAAGCAGGAAGGTGAGCGAGGGAGGAGGTCGAGCTGAGGCCGACGCGGTGACACCCTCATGGAAGGTGTGCTCGAGACCGACATGCGGCCACACCCTCGCAGCATGCGCCCTGCGTAGCTGCGCTGCGCACTCGAGGGTGGCGCCCTTGTAGTCGCCGCCCCCACAGCCCCATGGTCGCGCGCTTGAGGCCGGCAGCGCCCTCGCGACCTCCGCGCTCGAAGCCGGAGAGCGGACATGAGCGAGGAGGAGTCGCTCGAGCGTAGCCGCCGTGGGGAAGGAAAGGGATCTGGGAGGGAAAGCTGGGAAGGATCGCGAGACTCGCGACCGCGAGCGCAGAGAGCCGAGGGAGTGCGGGCGTGTGGTGGCTGGGGTGTTAGGGGAGGGGGGAAAGAAGTTAGGGCTGGGGAGTGGGGAATAGCAAGGAGTGCACTGGGCTCTTAGCGGGCCAAAATCGTGCTTGCCTGTAATTGTCGGGTCGGGCTGTGCTGGCACGTCGTGTCTGGGGTAAGGCCTAGGCACGCCCTGTTCCTTCGGGCCATGCTAGTCCAGGCCCGCTGACCACCGGGCCGGGCCGTGCTTGGACCAGGCTAAAAAAACGGGTCTCGTACCGGGCTGACGAGCTCGAGCTTCATGCCCATATATAGCGAGGATCGCTTATTCGAAACTGTGTGTGTTGGACCACGAAGCCTCGTGATAACCAATGTGTGTTCGGCCTATATGGGGTAGGAGACTCAACTGGCCCAGTATGTAACTGGTGGGCCTTAGGGAGTGCACGTGGAGCGGATCAGCATGGGATGGCAGTTGTCCCTGTCACCGCGCCAGGGTGCTTGTGCTTCCTTGCAGCCTTGCAGGACGGGCCGGTCGTCGCGATGCCCGCCGCATTGGCCCAACTCATCGCGGTCATGGCCTCTCGTTTGTTGCCGCTCCAATGCCCACCCAGCCGAGCCCGGGAGCGAGTGCGTACGCGGCCGCGTGTGACGTTCGGTGGCTCACACGCTTGCGATGCACGGCGCTCCTCCGTCCAAACGCGCGGCCGCCGCGCACGTAGACGTAGGTGGGCAACGCGAGGCTCGCCGCCGCCGCTCTCGAGGCCACAGTCACCCACGAACGCCTATAAATCGCGCCGTTAGCGCACATACACACACACCCCGACCCAATCCAGACCACAAGAGCCAGCAGTACGTGCTACGCAGCACGCAAGCTGCTGCTCAGCGTACGCGAGACGACGGTCAGGCCGGCCGGTGCTTTTCAGTTTGGAACAATGGCGATGGCGATGACGACGACTACGGCCGCGGGCCGCAAGGTGAAGGTGCAGGCGCGCGGGCAGGTCGCGGCGCTGTCCCTGCTGCTCGTGGTGCTGGCAGCGGGGCTGGGCGGAGGCGCCGAGGCGCAGCAGACAACGTGCGCGGGGCAGCTGAACGGGCTGGCCCCCTGCTTGCGCTACAGCGTGCCGCCGTTGCCGGGGCAGGCGCCGCCGGCGCCCGGGCCGGACTGCTGCTCCGCGCTGGGGGCCGTGTCCAGGGACTGCGCCTGCGGGACGTTCGGCATCATCAACAGCCTGCCCGCCAAGTGCGGCCTCCCGCCAGTCAGATGCCGTAAGACCTCGATCTCTAGTTACTTTACACACACATTGCATTGGTTTATGATCACTGATCGGGCGAACGTGTGTTTATTTGTCGTGCTGACGATTTGCTCTTTGTTGCTGTGCGTGCGTGCAGAGTGATAAGCTGACGGCCAGTGCATCGCGCCAGGCAAAAGGTGAAGGATCCAAGTTCCAAACAGACTGAATAATAAAGACCGTCTACTCCAGTGTCCTCATTCGTATTCGTTTGGTTTAGTTTTCTGAAGTTTTTTCATCTACACGTTCAGCCAGTCCTGTCTTTGAGACACCAGTCAATGCTAAAGCAAACTCATCTGACGGTCGTTTCGCACCATCTCCTGTGCCCTTTTTGCGACCTCCTTATCTTGTACGCACGAGACCAGCCTGTGGCTGTGCAATGTGCTTATGTGCAACATCGCTTTGATTTACAGAACCAACTATACTAGTCCTTCAGGCGCGCCCATGCGCGCGGTGTACGGGCCCCACATATTATTTTGGAGAAAAGAAAAAAAATAATGAAAGGGGGACTGTTTTTTTATTTGAGAAAAATCAAAGAATGTTTTCGCAAAAAATGATGAGAGTGTCTATGGAGCGCGGGTTGAATTTTGATAAAGTGGAAGTCTTTTTTGCAAACAAACCAGTGCGCATCCGTTCTGGACTGCGCGTCGATTTGGAAATAACATGAGGCGTTTTTTGTAAAAAATTCTGAGAGGACGTCTAGAGCGCGGGTTGATTTTCGAAAACTGAAAGGAGTTTTTCATAAAACGACCACGGCTCGCCCGATCTGGACCGTCCGCGCGGCCGATCGAACGGCCACGAAATAACAGCGACGTGGACGCGCTGGCTGAGCGAGCTGGCCACAACGAATCATATCTTTAGATATATACAGAACCACTCTGCACAGCAGGACTCATTGAAACGAATGGTCATGCGTAGGTATAAGGTATCACATTGTTGTATACACATACTGGCTCCATGCCGTCCACGGTTTACCCTGACATAATATGCATAGCAAAGCGCAATGCGTCACGACATGGCGCCACAAAAGAAATTTTAACCTCTGTTCGACCAACCCAACCATTTGACAGACTTTGAGTTTTTACTGGCAAAAGGTGCAAGTATAAAATGTAAAACCTCCGACTCCAGCTGTGGTATCTCTAACCATGCCTAACACTTATCTTCTACTCCGTGATCTGTTCTAGAAACAGGGCTTCCTGCTTGCTTGTTAGGCCAAGATCACTGAACGATACGCCACCCTCACTGTTGGTAAATGTACGCCTTGGGTATGTCCTCACCTGCGTGATGCAAAATGGTGGCAAATACAAAGTTTGGGTGAATTTAAACAGAAGAATGACAATGTGCCACAAGAAAACTCGTCAAAGAATTGACTTCACATCAACGCTTCATAGTCAAAACGAATTGAACTCTGGATCAGGGATTTTCAAATAATGATAGCTGCCTGGTTACCAGTCATTAACTGAAATGGTCATAGATGATTTATGGATACAATAAAAGAAACACCATCCAGCCAAATTTATACTATTTTGTTGCCAGAATGCCACCAGGAAACTACCAGTTTCAAGAGATCTCCAGTTAGGGAGGGTTTTTCTTCAAATGATATTCCAAAATGCACCCTGCATAGCCAACTAGCCTGACACTAACTAACTACTTTTTCTGCAGACCATTTCAGAGCAATGATAAGAAATCAAGCTAGCTACTTCTACCATTTCTTAAGAATATCAGACATAGAAAAGCGATGGCCTGGAACAAAACTATGTGTTTGTGTTTGGTTGCCAAGTATAAGTTGCATTTGCTAATATTGTGTTTGGTTAGTTGGCTGCATTTTATTTCCTGTTATCACCCATGCTTGTTGTGGTGAGATTAAACTCTCACGTTTAATGCTACAGAAGCTTGCATGAAACATCGCTCAAAAGCCACATAGCATGCCCTGACTCACGAATAAAGTAACTCAAACTGATTTATTTGAGAAAACAGGAAACTGACAAGTTCTTTTTAACAAAAAAATTTTATTAAAAACTAATGGTAGACAATTACCAATCTGTAGGTCCCTGGCTTGCAAGTCCTCCCAATGTCTAAGAAATCAAATAGGAACTGCAGACAAGACAACAAGCAAGTATTAATCACTCAGATATAAAAAAAATACAGAAAAAAAGAAAGAAGGCTAATGGATGATTTTGTTCTGGATTCAGGCATCTCAAAATTGTTTACCTGAAGTTTATCAGTTTTGAGAAAGCGACGCCCCTGTCGACTACCATCAGGCATGCGGACTACAATTGTCACGGCACCCTCTGTGTCTGGAGGCGGTTCCAATGGTAATGATGCTTGCTTAGAAGCGAGATTGGACTCTAGCTCCTATTTGATCGAAACATCAGGGACAACATGACAAATAGGTAGTCAAATATCCAGTCAAGAAAAAACAGATAGCATAAACAATGAAAATAAAGATCAAGTAAGCCAAACTGAAATTGGTGAGATGGAAGTGGCTAGTTATCATAACCTCATGCAAATAAGACATTTTTACCAGTTTGCAGTCCCAACTAAACACATGATATTAATATGATGAATAATTGAATACAACTCACAAACTAAACCTACACCAATATCCATGCAAACATAAGATAAAAAGAGCACCGAGTTTCATATGATCACACTGATGAACTGATGCTGTAGTTATCTTTTTTCTCGAAAACGCAGGAGAGCTGCGCATCATTATATTAAGAAGAGAAAAGGGCAAGAGCCCAAGATGCTGTAGTTATCTAGCATTCAAATATTTAAGATAGTTGCCTATCAACCCTTGACTTTCCAGATTACATGTGACAGAAAGATACCTCTTCCTCAAGTTGCTTTTTACGCCTTTCCTCCTCCTCTTGCTTCTGTTTCTCAAGAGCAGCTTCTCTCGCAGCAGTTTCTTCTAGGCGACGTTGCTCTGCCTCCTGTAAGGCCTTTAACTCCTTTTCTTGATCAGCTTGTAGCGATGCAAGGTATTCATCATCCTGTAAATCAAAATTGATAAAGTAGCTCACCCATAGTGGCAATTATGAAAAGATTGATGAATATTAGACCTCGAACCTGCTGTTCTCGTAATAACCGCTGTTCAGTTAATGCTGGTGATGGAGAGTGAGCTATTGGGGGATAATAAGTAGAGCTTCTGTGAGAAGGCATGGAGAAAGGATACGTTGGTCCTTCAGGAACTCCACCAAACATTGCAGCCTCAAGCATAACAGCTTCATCATGTTCCTCAGAAGAAATGCCACCCCACTTTTTTATAAAGAAAAATGAGGTCAGAAATTAAACAAATGCTGTCTAATGTCCTAACGAACATTGGGACCTCAGATTATAATACCTCAGATGGAAAATCATCTCCATTATTATACTGGTGATCGTTCAGAACAGGGCTAGCACCTGGGTGCACCATTTGTGCTAGCTCGGTGTTCTCAGAAGGGGTACGCCGAGAACGGCGTCTAACTAACGGTTGTTCCTCTATATCTTCAGTCTCCTCTTGGAAGCTCTCTTCATCTATTGGTTGCCTAGACGTTCCAGCCTTTCCTGAAGCTGGTCCTTGCCTCCAAAAGGAAATTGCGTGTATAAGGAACCAACTGGTGCTGTAGTAGGGTAGCTTGGGTAATGAGGTGGGTAGTAAAAGTTAATATTCACCTCTCGACTATTCCATCTACGGTTCCCATGCCTGCTTTATCAGAAGAATGTTCCTCCAAGTTCACTCCCTCTTGATGCTGGTCTCCTCCTTGCCCTGCTATCTGAAAATTATTGAAAAATTAGAGATGACATCAAGATAGATTCAAGTAAGCATGTTGGGGACAAAATATGAGCACAGAACACAAGTGAGCGTGCAAACAGATGTCATAAACCAAAATTGAAGATTCACAAAAGAATGTTGGAGAAAATATGTGTATGCACTTGCATGTATGCACGCAAGCTAGCACATCTATATTGGAGAAAGAAAATATAAGCACACAAGCACACACAGCTACATTACATTTGCCAGTGCTTCGGAATCCTTCTTTGAAGCTTCAATTGCTGCCCTAATCATTTCCTCTTCTATGTCATCATCATAGTCATTAACTTGAACCAATGGAGGAGCAGTTGGCACAGAAGATGTATTGCTAGGAATACTGGCATGTGGAGCAGATGGTGCAGATAACAATCCGCCGTCCTCATCATCAATTATGATAACTTCAGGGCCATTTAAAGACTCATTTCCAGTAACATCCTCAATAACAGGGGCCTGGCCAGATGGACCTGTTTGAGGATCACTATCCTTAACTTCGATAGGAATCTCCCTCGCCTCTCTAGGGTGCGAAACCAGCGGTCCACGACTGACACCATCAGTGGAGCCAACTCTGTCAAAAAACTGGCGCTGAAAATTTGGATCCATTAGCGCAAAAGGGTCACGGAAATTCTCCTGGAATGAAGATCTTTGAAATGTACTGTCAAGTGGTCCATCCAGGTCCATCATATCATCATGACTAGCGGGCATGGTGTTTTGACTGATTCCATTCCTGTAAACAACAAACATGTTATTAATCTGGACAGTATGTGTACCAGGAGTGAACTTCGATATCCATAGCAAACATGGTTAGGAAAGCTGAAACACTTACAATATGCTGTCTCCATCATTGAAATGCGAATTTATTGCTCGATTAAGGTCACCACCATGTTCCTGGGTTACATTAGTCAGTTAGCCACTATGACTAGATGATAGGTAGATGAAAACAGATGCAAATAGAGTTTGCTAGACTTCTGAAAGAGAAAATCATAGTAATAGAAAGTTAACGAACTGTTATGTGATTTCCCTCCTAAGATCAGATCGAAAACATTGGATGATGGTATGGTAACAAGTGTAGCCAACACTCAACAGGCTCATTGGAAATGTAACTATGAACCCTCATAGTAAACAAGTACAGGAAATGTCTGCATATGGTACAAGCAGAATGAGCCAAGTAATCATTTAGAACATGAACAGCGAATTGGACCAGATCATGAAAACAATGCTAATCAACCTGGATACCCTGTGACCAATTTGAGCCCTTTTTTCGTTGAGTGAGGCAAAATAGTGTTGCAGTTTAACTACCACTTCATAGGTGGTATCTAAAGATAAGAGTTACAGTATCTAGACCCCTGAAAAAGAAAACAATAGGAATAACAAGGTAACAAAATTGTTATGTGAGTTCCATCTTAGGATTGGATCGAGCACATTGGATGACAGTATGATATCAAGTGTAGTGAACATTCTGACAGGTTTGTCGTGGAATTGTAACTATGAACACCCTAATATGTAATAAGCACGAGATATTTCTGCAAATACTACTTAACAGAATGAGCCAAGTAAATCATTCCGAACAGGAACAGCAAAGTGAACCAGATCATGCAAACAATGTCAATCAAACTGGATGCCCTGTGACCAACACGGGCCCTATTTCACTTGAGTGAGGCAGAAATTGAACCTTTTCTGAAAAAAAAGAGACACTTTTGATGAAATAACTATATATAAAGAGGAAAAAAAACAGAAAGGGGACAAGAAAAGCGACGAGATTTGGTAACAAAATCCATTCCGTAACTGCACACCAATTCCAGCACTTGCTAGTGACTCCAAAATTCAAAAAGCCATGTGGGTTAATAAGCCCGGCACGCAAATCTGGTGCACCTCATCTCGATGACATCTCGTCGCATCACACCAAAACCCCAACCCCATCCGCTACACACCCGAAAACACGATTAAACACCAAGCCCAAACGGTCGCCCCAGCGCGACCAAATCCATCACGAGCCTAACCGATTTCGCCAGATTCCGGATTCTGAATTGAACAGGGGAAAGTGAAAATGAAAAAAGGAAAGGCCTTTGGGCGGTACCTCGAGCTTGCGTACGGCGACGGCCTCGTCCGCCCCCGTGATGCTGATGAAGGTATCGATCGCCTCCTGCGGTGGCCTTGCCATGGCGGGAGGATTCGGTGCCAACGCGGCGCGGAGGAGGGAGCGAGGGACAGAGAAGATATGAGAGGAGTTGCGTGAAGAGGAGAGAGACGGCAACACACTGAAGAGAGCAGGTGTTCTCTTCTGATTCTGATCTCTGAAGCCGCGACTCCGAGCGGTGACCTGTTTGCTGAAGTCTTTGAGTTGATATTCTCCGAAATTATTCGAAACCGAATCTGTTTAGAGGAATTGGGATCTGTCCGTATCCAAGTCCGGATATCATACCGTATCCATATTCGAATACTTAAATCGCATATTTATGATACCGATATCCAATCGTATCCTATCCGACATGGTTGACACTATCCGTATTCGAATCCGAATCCGGACAGAAATATAAAAACAAATGTAATATCGGTGATATCCGTATCCGATCCGTTTTCATCCCTGAACAACCCACCTCAAAAGGGCTTTCCCTTATCATCGTTCTCAGCACCTCCCTCCACTCCGATTTACGGGAAGCATATTATTTTCTTCGTGCCTAAATTATAAAATATGTTTTAATTTGCTATATACAATTTATATTATATTATACACTTAGATATATGCTATATATCTAAATAAAAAATAAAAATATATATCGAAAAAAATAAAATGTCTTATAATTTAAAATTATAAGGGAGTACAATTTAAATTTATAATTTTCCTAATAATTAAATATTGTATAATGTAATGCAAATTTACGGTTAGATTTATAGCTAAATATACTATCCAATAATTATGATTTTATTATCTAAAAAATATAAAATAAATGAATGGTTAAGTTATAATTTTAAAGACTACTTTATGTTCGAGTAATTAATTACAGTAATATTTTCACGGACCGATGGATTAGTAGAGTGTCCAGCATTTATCTTGGTTTTCTAAATACCCCTCTAGTCTTCCATCTCAGTCTATCAATGGGTATCGGAGCCGAGGTCTCTCATCTGTGGTTGTCACCGACTCGAGAGCATGGTGACTTCTGGGCTAGATGTTGATTATTCATATATTTTTTATAGCACACACTTTGCATGGTGAAAAAATTAGATACTAGCAATTTTAAGTTTATTTGCTCTCAAATATGGTGGATCGTAGATGCAGACTTTTTTCATGTGTTGGGTGAAGAGAATCTAACTCAAGCACAAGAGAAATGCTTAGATCTTAAAATCCAAGTCACTTGCATTTTACATCGATCTTTGGGTGACAAGATATTTGGGAAAAACCATGTACATGAAGACCGCCCATGATATTTGGTTGTATCTTAATTTGATATATGAAGGATCTCTAATGATGATGATGATGATGATGATGAGTTCAAGAAGGAGGTATGACGTGCATACGTGTATGGAATACACGACTGCAGCTTGTATGGCCTAATCTTCATAGTGGAGTCTAAGAAACCTTGATAATAACTATCGTTGCATGACCTGATAGAGAGGTAGCGCACCACGAGATCTTGCACTCGCAACGAACTGTCGAGACATCCACCTTTTCATGCACCGACAAAATCAGTCCACGCAATCAAGCCATATAGACATGAAGGCACGAACTGAATGAACCGAAGTTCGATGTTCTATAACTCCTTCAGGAATCGAAAGAACAAGAATTGCAAAGCACTCATGCCTTACTGAAGATTCCAAATATTCTCTCTATGAGAGGAGAACACACACGAGGTGGCTGTATTTAAACAAAAAGACTCTCTTACATTGAAGCATTACATGAGTATCTATACTATGATGAAAAGTATGTGAAAAGTTGACATTAATCTGGGTGCTAACCACCATGCTGAAGGTCATCTTTACTTTTGGCTAATTGAAGTGGAAACTCAAGCAATCTCTTCAATTCTCACGAAAGTGTTGGACTGCATGTGCACCTTCCACTAAAACAGTCATAACTCTTAGCTCGAAAGTCCAAATGTTACACCGTTTGTTGCGTGTGGAACTAGACTTCAATATCTTTTTGTTGATATGGAAAAAGGATGCTGAAACGTGGCCCGTGTTGCAGGTATAGCTATAAGAAACTGTTGAATCATAGTTGAGGTTGAGTTATCCTTGTCCACATCAAGGTACATGAGGATGTTGAGCATATCCACAACACTGTGGTTGTGAAACTATAGTTAGAGCTAAGAAAACACAATTGCAACTTGTGAAAAGGTTGTAGTCAAACTGTTAGGAAGTAAGCTCATAACAGAAGCAACAGATGCACATTATATTTGAAAACAATGCTTGCCCTAGATAAAATCGTAAGTAGGACACTCACCAATATTGGTTACGAAACATCACGGTGTCTAGTGAAACATGATTCCTATCATCATTTGTTCTAACAATAGCATTCACATTCTTAGTCATGGAATTCCTTTTCTTCTTAATAGCCTTGACTATCTTGCTAACTCCTTCATTAAACAATTTGCTTGTGAACTCATCTGAGCACATATCTGCATAGTGTGTTGACATCTTGCTCATTGTTATCGCATAACGGATTGAAATGACATTCTCTGTTTTTCCTCCACAACTTCACCTCTTGTCATGTCCTTAATTTCCTATCCATTTCAATCGCCCATCTTGGGTGAATGAATGATTCTGGCAATTTAGTCGTACCTTTTCTTGTTGTTATATTAAACACATGGCAACAATGAAGGCCATCCCTTTGGAATTTTGCACATAAAGACTTGTATAGTTGGTCATCTTGAGAAACAGTAACCTTATACAGATTCTTTTGGTACTCAGTTGTATCATATTGTTTTACTCTCTTCAACAAAAAATGTGTACCAACACGCTCTTGTTCAACAATATATGTTGTACCGTTCTCATTTCCTTCTGCAACTTACCAACAACTGGCCTTGTGAATATATTCATTGCCTCTTCCTCAATAACTGACATAACATGAACTGTGCAGACCAGTCTGGCAGCTTACTGATTGCATATTGAATGTATATTTACTACATTGACTAACAACATGCTGACAAAATATAAAATCTTACGAAAACAGGTATATTTGTAAAATTTGGAGTAAACCAAAATGGCACAAGTATGGCAACGGAAATGTGTACAGAAGTCAGAAGTGCCAAACATGTAATCGTGCAGACGAAAGTAAACATTACCTCCACAAAACTGATGCCACTTAAGCAGTTAAACTGCAAAAGGAGCAAACCACTGGTTAAATTTCAACAAAATCAAAGTTGGGGTTTGCAGTCGAGCTCATCTGCTACTTTGATCTCGGACTACACAGAAGACACAAAAGTTCATACTCCAGTTGGCAAGTGAAGCAAGGTGCAAAATTTCTGACAGATGCATACCGTCAAGGTATACGAAGCCTCCAGTTTACCAATATTCTTAGTTGTGACCTTTGCAGTGCCATATTGACTTAAGGCTTCAAATGTTGGAACACTAATGTTGGTTATCTTCCCTGGACTCCTGATGTGGAAGTACGACATATTAGACATTCTCCTAAATTAAAGAACATAAAAATGTAAAGAGCGGGACTTGAGAAGAAACCTAGAGTACCAACGTTTGTTTCCCTACTGTTTGTCAAACATGGCATAGATTTAAAGGGACACTTGTTATTTGGATAGCATCTACTTTTAAGAATAGGGCAGTGGTCAACAAATATAGACATGGCTCTAATAGCTAAATTGAAATGAGTATGAACACCTGATCAATATAAATCTGTCTGCTCCGTTCAAAAAAAATATAAATCTGTCTGTACTTGCAAATTTGAAATGAGTGGGGCCGTGGTCAACAAATATACCTCTGATACATGTATTCTATGTCATCAGCACTCAACTCTATCCGTAAATTGCTATTACGAACTTCTGTCACTCCAATAGAAAAAGTATGAACACTTGCATTCTGTGTAGGAGGTGTGTCAAAAACTTGATCCAACGTTAGCAAATGAGAACAAGATAGGAAAAGAGATGGAAACATTACTGGATGTTGATTGATCCTCTGAAACCTTCCCTTCACAACGTATTGGGGCTGTTGGCTCCTGTTTATCCGATTTTTGTCAGACTGAAACATATGGGTGACAGTTTTCAAAGACTTGGCGCATAATAGGAGTAATTCATTGCAAAGAGCAGATAGTGGTTTAATAAATAGGCACCTAACACTTGCTCTTTTATGGGGATCTCAGTGCTATCGTATGAAATTAATGACAAACAATCTGAATTTAAAATATGATTCAAGGTGTGTGTGTGTGTGTGAGAGAGAGAGAGAGAGGGAGTTCAGTGTGGTCCAGTTGCTATATTGAATCTGCCATAACCAGTGATAACCAATCAAGGTAATAGTTATTTTTGCTGCTCTTTATAGGATTGATGCACAATTTCCCATCCTAGTGCAAGAAAAAAGGAAAAAAAATGGAAGCTAAGGGTTTTGGTCAAAGATGGCTTGATTGGATGAAGGCATGGGAAAACATTCCATTGTAAAAGAGGAGTCAGGCAAGGGGATCCCCTCTCTCCCTTGCTCTCTGTCCTTGCTGCAGACTTCCTACAATCTATGATCAACAAAGCCAGAGCCATGGGTCTGCTCAACCTTCCAATTCCTTTGGAGCACAACCAAGACTTTCCTGTAATTCAGTATGCTGCTGACACCTTGATCATTGTTGAAGGTGACACCAGGCAGCTCTTCTTCCTCAAAGCTCTTTTGAACACATTTTCTTTGTCCACTGGATTAAAAGTCAACTACAACAATACCATGATGGTTCCAATCAATGTCTCTGAGGAAAGATTAGAAATTCTATCCCAAACTTTTTACTGTGCTAAAGGGTCCCTGCCCTTCACATATTTGGGTCTGCCTCTAAGCCTGACTAAGCCCAAGGCACAGGACTTCCTGCCATTAATAAACAGATGCGAAAAGAGGCTTGCTGGTGTCTCATCCTTGCTGAGCCAGGCTGGGAGACTAGAGCTCACAAATGCAGTGTTTACATCACTACCCACCTTTTACATGTGCTCCCTTGATCTCTCCAAAGCAGTAATAGAACAGATTGATAAATTCAGGAAAAACTGTCTTTGGCAAGGTGGAGAACTGAATGCCAGAAAACCCCCAAAAGCAGCTTGGAAGATGGTCACAGTACCAAAAGTTGATGGTGGGCTGGGAGTGACTGATATCAGAAAGCAAAATGAAGCCTTATTGCTCAAGAACCTGCATAAATTCTTTAACAGGATTGATATACCTTGGGTGAACCTAATCTGGGAAAAGCACTATAGGAATGGGAAGTTACCAAGCCATATAAAAAAGGGCTCATTTTGGTGGAGGGATAATCTGAAGTTGTTACCCAAGTTTAAAAGCCTCACTCTGGTCAACATTGGAAATGGTGAAAGCTGTCTCTTCTGGACTGATAATTGGGCTCCACATTGTCCAGCCAATGCAGCACCTGAACTGTACTCTTTTGCCAAGAACAAATCCTTATCGCGGTTAATGCTGTGATCAACATGAGCAGCTTCTCTGATCTATTTCATTTACCAGTCTCCCAAATAGCCCTCTTCCAAATGCAGAATCTGTCAACCAGTATTGCCCAGATCGCCCTGACTGAAGATAAGGACAAATGGGGTTACCTATGGGGCTCGGGGCTCTTCTCTTCATCCAGAATTTACAAGGCTTTGATAGAGCATCCAGTTGTACACCCTGCTTTCAAATGGATCTGGAAGTGCCCCTCCCAGCCTAAGCACAAGGTCTTCTTTTGGTTGTTGCTCAAAGATCGGCTCAGCACCAGGAACATTCTAAAGAGAAGAAACATGGCCATTGATGATTATAACTGTGTTCTATGCAGCCATTCAGTAGAGGAGACCTCTGAGCATCTTTTCTTGCACTGTCAGTTTGATGAGCAATGTTGGAACATTTTGGGAATTAATATACCCCCAGGCAGCACCTTCCCGGAAGTGGTGACTGAGTTCAAAATAAGGTTGCAGTCCAAATTCTTCATGGTAGCAACAATTCTCATGAGTTGGGCCATTTGGGTAGCTAGAAATGATTTAGGCTCTGTTTGGTTGGGCTTTTGGCCCCAAAAGCCAAAAGTCCAACCAAAGGGACTGTTTTTGGAGGGTGCTTTTTTAGAAATTGGTGAAATAAAAAGCTCTTCCATAGTTGTTTCAAGAGAGATAAAGATAAAAAGGTATATTTTATACTTGTTTAATCAAACAGCTTTCAGCTTTTCTACAGCTCACAGCCCACAGCAGTTTTTCCACAGCTCACAGCCCACAACAGCTTTCTCCCACAGCCACAGCTCAACCAAACAGGGCCTTAATCTTCAAAGGGCTGCAACCAAACATAGAGAGATGCAAAGCAATCCTTTTCAAAGAATTGAGACTGGTTCTCTTCAGAGTCAAGCCAAGTTTTCTCCCAAGTTTCGAATTATGGAGTCACAACCTTATTCCCTTGCAGTAGTCCCTTCCGACCTTATTTTCTTGGTTTCTTTCTGGGTTCCCTAAGCGAACCCCTTGCTAGCCTTGTCTTTTGTTTTTTCTGTTTCACTTTGTATCTAAAACTTGTTTTTACTATTAAATAAATTTTCTGTAGGGGCTACGGCTAAAAAAAAAGGAAAAAATTCCAGGGGCTGTTTACAATATTGTTATTATATAATTACCTCCAAACAGGTCCATAGCTGATTGTACAAACAGCTCCCAAATGCCGATGCACAGAAGTTAGGTTGGTTTTGGAAAGCCTGATAACCAACACCAATTTTGTCACATTCGATGCCGTCTGTAAAACGAACTCTCTCCAACAGCATCCACTTGCTATATTCAGCACCAAGGTTTTGTGGCTCACCACTACCAGCACCCTTTAATAGAAGGCTTTTATCTGTGTACCCTTAAAAAAGATACCACACTTCTACGTACCCCTCAAAATTGGTCGTCACCTACATGCCCTCGCTCGAACTTTTCTTTTCCCTCACGCCATTCCGTCGGCATTTGCTCCTAACGGTGGATAATGGCTCTGGAGATTGACTCAGTTGCCCTTGGGCTTGTATGTGCGTCTGAACTTTTTTGTTTCCCTGTGCCATTGCCAGGCCTTTGAGCGTGCTTCATGATGCTCTGCACCACGGCATGGGAGCTCCCGACGGAGTACCTGAACCCCTGGAAGCTCAGGCTGAGGCCGTGCATGGCGGCCTTGACGCCCTTGTTGAACCCGCGCGCCTGCTCGTTGAGGACGTCGATGCAGGCGCCCAGCGGGTGCAGGCTCCGCGGGTAGGGGCAGCACCCGATCGGCGGGACGTCGATCACCGCGAACTTCCTCGCCCCGAGCACGTACAGAGCCTGATTCAACCGCCGCCGGCCGGCCGGCCGGCCGCAACACACGTTTCGTTTCAGCGAGGTTTCTCGGCGGGTCATGCATGGTTCAGAGAGAACGGGGCGACGTACCTTCACATGGTTCTGGTACAGCGCGACGAGGTTGCCGACGAACTGCTGCTTGTCGGCGTCCGACGGCGTGCTGTTCCGCGAGAAGAAGGCGAACAGGTCGTTGCCGCCGGTGCTGACGAGGAACAGGGACCGCGACAGCACGGCGGCAGCCCCGTTGCCGACGAGCGAGGAGATGTTGCGCTGCACGGCGGCGAATTGCTCCACCTGCTTGCTCAGCGGGATGATGGAGCTCCCCTGCACGAACAGAGTCATCCACGTGTGTCATCTTTGCTTGCAGTTGCAGTGCCCGTGCAGGAAAGTAAACGTGCACGGTAACTCTGGTCACGAGTGGCTTACTGTTGTGTCGAGAATGCCTGATCCTGCAGAGGCGAAGTTTACTGCCAGGAGACCTCTGAAGACCTGCTTGTTGGTCTTGTTGGCCACGGCGAGGAACGGCGGCGGGCTGCGCTTGAAGCCCATGTTCACAGCTGGTAGAGTTGAACCAAAGCCTTTTAGTTTTAGTTTTAGCACCAGATGAACATGTTCACAACACGATTCTCCTGCTCGCTGCAGTTCTCGTGTTCTCGGAACTTGAAGAATACTCTACAATCATTTTCGAAACTGTTCTGTTTCCTACTTGTAGTTGCAGACAACAACTAAAGGATTGACAAGAGCAAATGTTCAGAGCAGTTGAGCGACAGTTTAGATTTTATCGTCTCAAAGGTGCTCAGGAAAAAGGTGTGTTCGCCGCGCCGCCCCGTTCTCTCTGAACCATGCATGACCCGCCGAGAAACCTCGCTGAAACGAAACGTGTGTTGCGGCCGGCCGGCCGGCCGGCGGCGGTTGAATCAGGCTCTGTACGTGCTCGGGGCGAGGAAGTTCGCGGTGATCGACGTCCCGCCGATCGGGTGCTGCCCCTACCCGCGGAGCCTGCACCCGCTGGGCGCCTGCATCGACGTCCTCAACGAGCTGGCGCGCGGGTTCAACAAGGGCGTCAAGGCCGCCAAGCACGGCCTCAGCCTGAGCTTCCAGGGGTTCAGGTACTCCGTCGGGAGCTCCCATGCCGTGGTGCAGAGCATCACGAAGCACCCTCAAAGGCCTGGTAACGGCACAAGAGAAACGAAAAAGTTCAGACGCCCATACAAACCCAAGGGCAACTGAGTCAATCTCCAGAGCCGTTACCGTTAGAAGCAAATGCCAACGGAATGACGTGAGGGAAAAGAAAAGTTCGAGCGAGAGCATGTAGGTGACGACCAACTTTTGAGGGGTACACAGAAGTGTGGCATCTTTTTCAAGGATACACAGGTAAAAGCCTCCTTCGATTGCCCAGTTTGGCTTACCCTAAAATCGGCACTATTCAGCTTGTTTTTTCAGCCGGAACAGTATTTTTCTCTCATAATAATTCAGCCAGAACAGTGTTTTCCAACCATTTTCAACTAAGATTCAGCAAGCCGAACGAAACCTGTAACACATCAAAAAATGTTTTCAAGTCACATAATAGAACACTGCAAATACATTGATAGCGTCAGGGTGTCTATTGTAATTTAGTGATGTACCTTCCTAGGGGTCACAAGATAGAAGTGCTCAAATGTTGGGATGCTGTTATAACCATCAAAATCACCAATAAGATTCACTCTCGGAAAATTGTCTTTAGAAACAACAGTTCTATTCTCCGGACCAACAACAACCTCCTGCAGTGCAATTGGGGAAAGATATAAAAGACACTTCTGAAGTGAGTGACATAACAAAAAATCTACTGCAAATTATGAGGAAAACCCATTTAAAACTAACTTTGGTTTTATAAGTAAACACCAAAATTCACAATTTAGTTTCTAGACTAGAAAGAAAAACGATCTCAAAATAAACAAATAAGTATAAGCATAGTAAGGTTGTGGAATTTTCTCAGCACAGATCATGGGTATGTATGCTTAACCAAGCAAGAAACTGGCATGAGCAATCTGATAATTTATGCCCTAGCCCTCACGTGATACTAGTTGGAACTCTTATGCAGAATTTCAAATCCTACCGATACGGATGAACCTTTCTTAACTTGTACCCTGATGTTGAACCCAAGTGACCGTGTTTCAATTCCAAAAACATGGAACCTGTTCATCAGAAAATAAAGGAATATCAATACACATGTTTATTATTAGTATACTTGTATAGCCTATTGTCGTACCACACTAACTTGTATTGTATCACAAGATATATATAACACCTCTGGTGTTACGAGTTCGCTAAGCACTGAGATTATGGCCTAAGAGATAGATCTATAAATATAATGAGTTAGATACGTAAATGCCTATATGTGTTAATGAAAAATCCTAACGCGAAGAGTAGAATAATTAGTTCTAAATATTGGCACGGAAGCAATTTTTATAAACAAAAATACAATACGACTTGTATATAGTACTTAAATAAAATTCGAAGTGTAAGTTTAGTAGATGAAAATGCAACTTTTGTTTCGGTAAATAAATATTGTTCAATAGTATTTTTAATAGCTCAAGGATTGAAGTTGGAATTTAATTCCAGCCTCTAGAACTAAAATGATCAAGACTGAAAACCTAATAACGATGTTGTTTTGGCATTTAAATTTTGATTAAATTTCTTAAACACTAGATTCGTGTTTTTGCACTGTTGGGTGTACCAAGTTGAGTACATGAGCATGGTGTAGGTCGAAGTCGTGTTGGAGATCACGTTGCTCTCATAAAAATTGCCCAAACTTCGTTAGAACGCGTTGCGGTCAGGTTTTGGCGCTCCGTTCGTGAATCAGCGCTTGGCCTGACGAATCTATTTTGGCAAGTCTCTTTCTCTCTCGGTAGTTCATCTAAGTTTGCGTTTGATGCTCCTTGAGATAGCCTTTAGGACCCTCTTGAGCCTTGACAAATTGGTTTGGTCTCAACCGAGCTGGGTTGGTTTTGGTCGGAGCTTTAAAATTCGTGCACGCCACTAATAGCAGCTGCTCAGTCCGGGCTCATGGTCACCGCGCGTAGGGCGCTGCTGACGCTGGGGCTCTGGCCACGGCCGGGTGAAAGGTCCTAATGGCTAGAGATGGGTGAATAGCCTATTAAAAATTTCTACAACAACACTAAGACAAATAATTAGTCAATAAGACAACGAAGCGAATTTTGCGCTAGCACTATACTTGGGGTTGCAAGCCACCTACACAATTCTATTTTCTATGATCTCTAGTATATCACAACAAAGCTATGTTACTAATATACACCTAGGTGATCAACCTAGTGAGAGTAATACAATTAAATGATACACTATCTAGTCTTAACTACCACTAGCTCTATCCAAGTGAATGTATAATGAAATACAAGAGAGTGGTAGAGAGGTATACCGCCGTGGCAAGTGACCAATGAGTAAATACCAATGAATACTAAGGAGACAATCAAGACACAATGATTTTTCCTCTGAGGTTCACTTGCTTGCCGCCAAGCTAGTCCCCGTTGTGGCGATTCACTCACTTGGAGGTTCACGTGCTAATTGACATCACACCCCAAACCCTCAATAGGGTGCCATACAACCAACACAAAATGACGATCACATAAGCCACGAGCAATTTACTAGAGTACATTTTGGCTCTCCGTCGGAAAAAGGTCAAGGACCCCTCACAATCACCACGATCGGAGCAGAAGACAATCACCAACCTCCGCTCGACGATCCTCGCTGCTCCAAGCCATCTAGGTGGTGGCAACCACCAAGAGTAACAAGAGAATCCCGCAGCGAAATACGCACACCAAGTGCCTCTAGATGCAAACACTCAAGCAATGCACTTGGATTCACTCACAATCTCACAAAGATGATAATCAATGATGGAGATGAGTGGGAGGGCTTTGGCTAAGCTCACAAGGTTGCTTTGTCAATGCAAATGGCCAAGAGGGTGAGCTAGAGCCGGCCAAACGATATTTATAGACACCCAAAACAATAGAGCCATTGGCTCAATTATTGGGCTGACTGCGGGACGACCGGACGCGTCTGGTGTGGTGACCGGACGCGTTCGGTCACTGCGTCCGGTCGTAGCCTGACCGCCATGTGTCCCTTTCAAATTGTTTAGCCATTCACGCCCAACGACTATCTCTACGCACAGTAATACTACGTGATCGGACGCGCTTTTAGAAAACGACCGGACGCGGGAGACGCAACGTCCGGTCGAGTCTAGAGAGCTCCCAGAGCCGCTCTGGGCCAACCGGACGCGTCCGATCACACCGAAGCGGACGCTCCCAGCGTCCGATGAATTATTGCGCTGAAAAACCAAGACTTGCTGGCGACTGGATGCGTCTGGTCGCTCTTTGTAATCCTGCTTCAGGCTATATCACTTTGACCTGACGCTAAACAGTAACTCGTCAGCATCCGGTCACTCCACTGAGCCAGAGTCTGGTCACCTTGGCAACTCTGCCCACGCCTAGCCAGAATACCGGACACGTCCGGTATCAATATCGGACTCGTCCGATCATGTCAGGAACACTGCCGCCTGAGACAGTACCGGACGCGTCCGGTACGCATGTCGGACGCGTCCGGTCACCCCGTGACCAGCGCATTCAACTTTGTTTTAACTCTATTTTCTTTACCCTTGCTCAAATGTGCCAACCACTAAGTATATCACCTTGTGCACATGTGTTAGCATATTTTCACAAATGTTTTCAAGGGTGTTAGCACTCCACTAGATCCGAAATGTATTTGCAATGAGTTAGAGCATCTAGTGGCACTTTGATAACCGCATTTCGATACGAGTTTCACCCCTCTTAATAGTACGGCTATCTATCCTAAATGTGATCACACTCACTAAGTGTCTCGACCACCAAAATGAAAAAGCTTCTATCAAGTTTCACCTTTGCCTTGAACTTTTTGTTTTTTTCTTTCTTCTTTTCCAAGTCCAAGCATTTGATCATCACCATGCCATCACCATCATCATGATTTTCACCATTGCTTCATCACTTGGAGTAGTACTACCTATCTCATAATCACTTTGATAAACTAGGTTAGCGTTTAGGGTTTCATCAATTCACCAAAACCAAACTAGAGCTTTCACCGGGCCGCTGCCGTTGCCCCGCTCACGCACGAGGTTGATGTCGTGCATCGTCTATGATTTGGCTCGCTGCTACGTGCACGTCGTGCTTAGGCAAATGGTCGTGGTGCCACGCGTAGAGCATGCTGTGGCCGCGGTGGAGTTGACTCGGCAGACGTGGAGCCCGCCTCACCCTTCAATCCACCTACCACGTCGAGCACTCGAGCCGTCCTACGTCATCGCGTCTAGGTCATTGGCTTCGGCTCCAGTGGGCGATGGGACGCTTCCCTGCCCTGCTGCTAGCCGCCAGGGTGGGCTCTGCTCGAGTTTGATCGCTCTGAGTTATGCGCGTCGCGCCAAATCGTTGAGTCTCGTCGCCTGTATGCGCGAGCTCGCTGTCGTCACCAACTGGAGTCCCGCTTTAACTCGCTCAACCCTCTCGAGCTCACCGTGTGTCCTCCGACGTGGTCTTGGCCATAACCCCATGCCTCTGCCTTTCTAATTCGCCCAGCTCAAGGCTTTTCAACCTGTCTTCTCACGCCAGTAGTAGCACAGGAAGCCAGCTAGTCGCCCCGACCATAACCAGTCCCACCAAATGTCCTTCACCGCGTCTATTCGAGGTTCTACTCGCCGTAGGCCATGGTCACCGTCGTGACCTAGAACTGGGGAGAGAGGTAGGATTGGAGCGATAGTAGTCCGCTTGGTGCTCGTGTTGTTTTGTCTAGGGAGTCCACCATCGGAGCGGTGGCGCACCGGTGTCACACTCGGCATGCCGCCGTGAGGTGCGGGTGCACGTGGTCGGGTCACCTCATCGCTCCTCTGCCTCAACCACCACCACAGCGCGAACCCTGGTGAGCTACCGGTGCTCATCCGTCACCACCACCACCTCGGTAGAGCCTTAGGTCACCGGAACGAGCACGCCGTGGCACGGCTCTGCCCGTCGCCGGGGCTAGCCCTCGGTAGTGCACCGTTAAGCTCCCCACCGCTACCTAGGAGTGCATGCTTAGCAGTAGGCAAAGGTTGGCTCCTTACCCGTGTGGTAGCGAGCTCAGGGTGCCCAGCGCAGCCGCCCATGCCGCTGGTCACCATGCAGGCGAACGCGGGGTAGAGCAGGGACCTCCCCGTTGTGAAGGCGGTAACATCCAGGGTCCTTAGTGCAAAGCTTGTCCCTGGTGTAATAGTGCTCAGTGACGCCGTGTGATAATCTGTTATGCTGATGGTTTTTCTACAAAGGGTGCGGGGGCGCGCGGGGGCTCCCCGTCGCGGGCCGCTTGTTGGGCCGGCCTGCTACGCGCGCGGGCTCCCCATCGCTGACCGCTTGTTGGGCTGGCCTGCTACACGCGCGGGCTCCCCGTCGCGGGCCGTTTAGGTTGTTGGGCTGAAATCGTTGGCCACCGGCTTTTCCTTTTTCTAAAGCGTTTCCAAATTAGTTTCTAGGGTAAATTTGTCAATTCAAGAAAAATTTGTGTAGCTGACCAAAAAATTGTGAAACTAATTTTGTTAGGTTCCTAAAATCATGACCTACCTGCTAATGTATTTTGTTCACTTAGTTTCGTAGAATTTTCAAGAGTAGACTAATTAATTTGAAGCACTTAAAATGTGTAAAACATGAAATTGTATGAATTATTGTGATGAATTGGTAGTAGTACTGGCCCTAAAATTTTTATAGTAGATTCCTAACAATATTAGGTGTTCGCTGTAATTTTTGTAGCTCCATAGGAGTTAGTTTGTTAAGGTAACTAAATGAGTCCTAGTACGAATATATATATTTAATCAGTCAAATGTCAAAAAATAATTAGGGGTTTGTAGAACAAAAACATTTTCCAAAACAAGCCTTACTTGGCGACATGGATACGTAGACTAGTACGTTAGTCATTAAGCTAGCTCGTTAGCGCGTGGAGCGTAATCATATTATAGAGTTGTAGTTACTATTGATTAATTGTGTCTCTGTGTTGCATCCACGTATATCATAATAGGAACAACGATGGATCGTGGAGATGACCGAAGTAGCGGAAAAGAAGGTGACTTGATGATCGTGTCATCATGATGGAATGCTAACTTTTGGTTATATCTTACCCAGACAATCCCCAG